TTTACTGAAGTGCTCTGGGCCGGCCTCCCTGAAGCTTGGGATCATGACAACAATGTGGATGACAAGATGGGTTCGCTGATAGCACAGTGTGCTCCACGCATTTTGATAAATAAATTACGTAGTCTAGCACATACATTGGTTTTCAATGTCTAACATTTCTGACTAGGGACAAGTCTTAATTGATGAATGGTGGTTGAACTGGTGATGTGATATACAAAGTGATGATGTGACCAAGGACATCTTGGAGACAAAGGAACCCAGATGCCTTTGCTCACAGTCCAGCTGGGGCAAAGGATGGCTGAATGGAGAGAGTGGGGCTTGGACTGAAGGGGCCGGTACCAGGAGCAAGGAGGGGCATGAAGCCTCCTGGAGGATGCAGATGGCAGGTGTGCAGGAGGTGACAGTGAAGAGGGTCCTTGCAGATGACCAGGTGTTAGCAAAGACTTAGTGGTTGGACAGGGTAGGGGAGCAGCTGGGGGCTGTCAGGGAGTGGAGTGGACAGTGAGGTACAGGCCTGCTGCAGAGGCTGACCATTTAACTTGGGTCCATGCTTTGGCATTTTTCTTTTTGCCCAGAGCCAGCTTTGGACCATGATCCTCTACATACAGCCTCCCACATAGCTGGGATGACAGGAATGAGCCACCACGCTCAGCTTATTGATAGAGACCAAGTCTTGCTTACATTTTGCCTGGGCTGGCCTCAAACCTCGATCCTCCAAATAGCTAAGATTATAGGTGTGTGCCACTGTTTTGAGCTCAGGTTGGTGTTTCTATGGGGAGACCACTGGTAAACAGGAGTGACGGGGTGACTCCAGGTGCCAGGTGGCAGACAGTTCTTAAGTACATTTTCTCCCTGCAGTGCTGGGGATGAAACCCAGGGCTTCAGCATGCTAGGCAAGTGCCGTCACTATACCACTGAGCCATGCCCCAGCCTTTTAATCCACTTCTACATCTTAATGGATTTGGAAAAAATATGTAACCAGTGTGTCACACCCTTAGTTTCATTCTTGCTTAGAACAGTTCCAGAAATATGAAAGAAAAGAGCGACAAAGGGAGGGAGAAGAGAGGGAAGGAGGCTGTTTTAAAGAATAAAATAGTGCAGGGGGCTATGGACATGTAAATGCCTGTAAAAAAAGAGGTGCACAGGTTTGAGTTTGGGGAAAGTGGTACAGGGCAGGTGGAGAAATGGGATGAAGACCTATACACTCGTGTTTTAAGTCTCCTCATTGTACACTAGGGAACAATGAACTCATTTAATGACACTGAATTGTGCTCTGAAAAATGGTTAAAATGGTCCCTTTTGTGTTATAGATATTTTATCAACATACATACACACACACACACACACACACACACACATACACTCTAAAGAGGGAGGCAGGAGAGGAGGCCAAGAGCAAGCCAGGTGCAAAAAAAATGCAAGTTAGCTGCTGGCTTTGAAGATGGAGGACTGAGCTAAGAAACGTGTGACCCTCGCTAGAGAAGGCCAGAATCCCTGGTCTTCCTGGCAGCCTCTAGAGGGAATGCAGCCTGCTGACACCCTGATTTTGTCCCAGTGAGACTTGCATTGTGCTACTAACCTACAGAACTATAGGGTAATCACCTCATGTTTTAAGTTACAGAGTTTGTAGTCATTTGTTATAGCAGCAACAGGAAACTGATACTCCCTGTCATAGGGGAGGACTCCAAGACAGTTCATGCAGCCAAGGCCACAGACTAGAAAGTGACAGAATGGGGATTTGACCAGAACTGCTTAACTCTGAGTCCAGCCCTTAGTCACTTGTTCCCTGGATACAGGCCCCTCCTCCATAAGACTGGCCAGGAGGCCTGAGTTGCCCATCAAGAATCTATACAGGGTACTTTCTAGGGTGTCAAAGCACCAACACCTGTGGCTCACCCCTCGGCCAGATCTGCATTTCCCTTCTCTTCGCCACCACACCCGTCCCCCAGGCCTATGTGCTTGCTATTCCCTGCCTAGAAGGCTATGCCAAGGTTTTCCTCATCATTCCTATCCTGGCTTCAGTGCCTCCTCTAGGAAGGCTTCCCTGACCTCTCCAGCCTTTATGGCCCAGTTGCTCCCCATCTCACCCCCACACCTGGTCTGCTATAATTAGCACAGCTTGTAAATCAGTTGCATCTCTCCTCCCCTGACTTCCTAACCTGGATTCCCCTTTCCTGGAAAAACAATATCTGCCTTTCAGAGACCATGGCTGTCTCTCATAATTTCATACTTTGGAAGGGAAATGAGGGGTTCCTTATTAGCTTTCCAGAGCCCAACTGTCACCTTGTAACTATACTGGCTTATTTATTTAGCCTGGCAGTCAAGGGCTCAGGCTCTGGATTCAGACTGGAGTTTTGATCCCAGTTCTGCCAGCTTCTGGCTGTGTGATCTTTAGCAAGTTACTTGACCACTTTGTGCTTCAGTTTCCCCATCTGTAAAACAAGTGCCATGGGAGTATTTTCTTTGGGGTTATGGTGAGGATTAGAGGGGGGACTCTAGGTAACATGTTTGGCACATGTTAACAAGAACTCAGTGAGGGTTGGCAATTATTCCATGTGTATTTATGTGTATATTCTGTGCTCCATACTGGAATGTGAGGCCACAGGAGAGGTACTGGACCTGTTTTGTCTCAGCACAGTGCCTGGGGCATAATGGGTACCCAGTAAATAAATGAACGAACAAACAGCCAGCACGTCCTGGCTCCTTCTGACTGCTCTTGTGCAAATGATCAAGATGAATTTGGAACTCCCATCCTGTGCTGGGTCTGTGTGACCTCACAAGAAGCCCGGCCTCCTCTGCTACTCAAGGAGGCTCAAGGAGTCAGCCCAAGGCTGCTCATGAAAGGGGACAGAGGAGGGGCAGTGGGGACAAGCACGGTAACCTCTGTGTGCCCTGACATCCTGGATAGCGCCTGCCCAAAGCAGACAGCATGGTGGTCCATGTGGGATCCACTGAGTGATCTAACTTCTCAAAATGCAAAATGTCAAGACATTCAAGTTCTCTCTTTCTATTCTAGGCTCCAGTGACACTCAGACTGTCTGGCATCACTTGTTCTTCTGTGGCCAGCCTATCTTCACACCTGCAAGTAAATGTCGTGCATGACTCCCCCCCACTTGCCTCTGGCACAGAAATACACTGACCCAGTCCTGGATGCTTGGTGCTCCAGTTGGTGGGTATGACCCCTTCCTGATGGAAAGTGACTTTCCAAGTGGCTCAGCTAAGATGTGACAGAGGGCAGGAGCTGCCTATGCCCTGGACTAGCAGAGTGTCCTAGGCCAGGGGAGAAAGACAACTGGGGTTGGTGAGACCAGTGTCATGGTGGCAACATGGGGCCCAGGGGGGCTTTGTAGAGGAGGCCACCTGGGAGCAGTGTCTTGGGGGAAAAGCAGGAACCAAGTATTAGATGCAGAGTGCGGAGAGGGACTGTGGGAGTCCAGGGACTGGGAGTTGGGGTGCAACACAAATAAGGATGTGGAGGTGAGAGAACATGGGAGAGAATGTGCTTGAGAGACAAATGTCATCTTCTCTGGAGACACCAGCCATTGTGTGTGGCTTTCCCAGGACTGCCTATTATGAGCTCAAGTGTGTCCCTTCAAGCCCAGACATTGACGTCCTAGCCCCCAGCTTCTCTGAAGGTGACTGTATTTGGAGGCAGGGTGGTACAGTTAAAATGAGGCCTTGAGGGTGGGTATAACCCCAAATGACTATTGTCCTTATGAGAAGGGGAGACAACTACACAGGCATACAGAGGAAGACCACTACCACACAAGCAGAAGATGGCCATCTACAAGCTAAGGATAGTTGTCTCAGAAGAAAGAGACCCTCAGTCTTGGACTTCCAGCCTCTAGGACTGGGAGACATTGAGTTTCTGTGATCTAAGCTGCCCATTCTGTGGAAATGGGTTTACAGCAGCCCCAACAAACCAACACATGGCTTGACGTCAATCATTTCCTCACTTCTCTCTCTTGACATTCACCTTGGTTCAGAACATGGCCTCTCTTAGCAGCACACATAATCTGACCACACACTGGGGATGGATAGAGAGGAGCAAGCAGAGACCAGGCCATTCAGAGTCAAAGGTTATGGTCCAGGACCGTTGCAAGCAAGTTCCATTCATTACTTGAGCCCTTCTCCCATTCTTGCGCCCTACTAATTCTGTTCAGCCTACTTTTCAGGCTCTTTTCTGGAAAACCTCCAGTGGAGAGGTGCTGCTCCTGCCTCCCCAGTTTCCTTCCTCTTCCTTTGGGTTCATCTGCACCACACTGCCAGTCCATATGGCTTGGTGCAGAGATCCACTCCCTCTAGTCCCACTGGCTGGACTGGGCTCATTAGCACCACAACGATTTGTTCTGAGACAGCATGTGACCCCTGGGGGGTTCCAATGTGGTTTTGAGAGCCAGGTTTGGGACTTTTGCTGGAGCTTCTGGGAAAGAAAAACTCACTTTCTGATCGGATCAACATCTTATATGAAGGCAATTGTGCCTCTGTACATTGGAGAGCCTGCCCAAGAACAGGATCAATGCAAAGGGAAGCAGAAGTAAGGGTAGAAAAGAAGAAGAGGGAAGAGGGGAGGGGTGACAGGAGGGAAGAGGAAAGAAAGTGAGAAGAGGAAATCAGAGAAGAAGAAGAAGGTGAGAAGAGGAAAGGAGAGGGAGGAGAGGAGTCCTACCATAGCTCTGGACTTCTCCATTATCTAAGCCAATTAACAGTTCTTTTACACAAGCCCCCTCCCCTGCACTGGACAACTAGCATGCAGATGCTGCTGAATTCCCTGTAATGCACAGGGCAGCCTCCACAAGTCTCTGCCAGAGAGTTACCATCTACAATTTCAGGGGCATCTGGAAGTCATTGGAAGACTTTGCCTCTTGTCAGCCCCAGAGACCTAACAGAGACACCTCCCTGGTCTGCGAGGTGATCTACTCAAAGCAGGATTCAAAGTGCTGCTGAAGTTTAAGCCCTACGACCAGATCTAAAGAAATGCTGGATAAGAAAGTGCTCACTTTTGGAAGCTGGGTTAAATTCCAGCACCACTAGGGTGTCCGGGCCCTGGGGAGGCTGTCCTTCTAGCTCCAGGTCCTTGGGAACATCCTCTGGTACTGAGTCCCCACTGGAAAGAAGGGGGTCATCTGTGGGATGGCCCATCGACACTTGGTCCTCAGGTTCAGGCTCAGGGAGGACGTCTTCTTCAATAGAATCATATTCATCACTAGAACAATCCTTTTGTTTCCTCTGAAGATTGATGCTGAGATCCAGGCTTTTCCTTAGCTCCTGCCAAAAGCCAAGAAGAGAGGTGAGACATGAGATAGGGTCCTTTGAGAAAAACTCATTTGAAAATAGATTATTTGAACCAAAATATGTTCTCACCAAAGTAACATTTACTAACATCTCAAACCATGTGTTGCAATTTGTTTGAAGATGAGATAACAAAGGGCAGGGAAAATGAGCAGCACTCTGGATGGAGGGGTATTTACAGCAGTAATTGTGATGTTTGTGTCCCTGTGATTTCTGTGTGAGAGAGTGGTTCTGGGGCTTGTTAACACGTGTTGTGGAGTCACACGCCCAGATTTTTCAACTGCGAGGGTCTGTGATGGGACCTGAGAATTTGCATTTCTAGCAAGAACCCTGCAGGTCTGGGGATCTCACTTTGAATATGAAATCCCAAAGGCCTTCAAATGACCCTGAAATTCTAGCTAAAACATCCAGCAGAGTTGGTGGAAACTGGCCTGCATAATGCATCATTTAAATGTCATAACATTTAGCACTCAACTATAACTGCCTGATCGTTTTTCATGTTTCCTTTGTCTCCATGAGATGGTAGGCTAAGCATTATGGTCTATATTTAGAGTGACTAGAAAATCTAATCACCTAAACCAAGGTACTTCTGAAATGGGAAAAAAGGGCCCTTTGACACTTCTTCTGCGACTGAAAGTATACAACTGACTCTCTAGCCAAACCAGTGTATTTGGTCACCTTCACTATAATACCCTGTAACCCTCATAGTACCCAAAACATCTCTGAGAAAAGAAGAAGTCATCAATGAAGGTTTGATGATGGCCAATAAACCTAATAGTAACGGCATGCTGAATAATGGCTCCCCAAAGATGCCTGTATCTTAATCCTAGGTAGCTGTGAGCCATCAATGGCTCAGGAAGAAGTAAGGAACATCATATAGAAAATTTTTATCATCATAAAGAAGTCATCCTAAACAGACTGATGGCAGAAGTATGGATAGTAAAGCTGGTGCCGGTGAGGGCTCCAGAAGTGAGGTACATGTAAGTGAAACTGCAGGGGAAGGGAATCCTGTCATGGAGTTGCAGACTCTCAGCTGAACTGTGCCCTAGAGTTAGTGGAACACAGAACTTGTAAATGATGAACTTGGACATTTAGCTCAGGAGATTTCCAAGAGAAGTGTTGAAAATGTGGCCTGGTTTCTTGTTGCCTGGAGTAGAATGCCCAAGAAAAGAGAGAGTGAGGAAAGATATGATAATAAGAATGAACCAGGGCTTAATGATTTGGGAAAATTAGGAGATTCACCACCAGGAAGAAGTATTCTGGAGAGAAAACCAAGAGTGAGGCTGAATCACCCTTGGCCAGTACCTTAGAAGATTCCGGGTGCCCAGGCATGTAGAGGGTCTTTGAGGAGATTAGACCTGTGACTCATGAATTCCCTCAGACATCTCTGCAGACACTGGGATACACATGGGCTGATCAGGAAAGCTTTGTGGAGGAGTCTCTTACCTAATGAAGCAAATCCTGGAGATATACATAGGAATCTCACATGGTTTTTGAGAATGTCAAACTGTCAGAAATACTGTCAGCTTGAACCAAATAGGAAAAGAAAAGGACAAAATGAAAAGAAGGCAGTCAGACTCCCTCAGTTCTATAGTCAGGAAAAAGGCAGATGGACTACTCATATGCAAACACATGCTAGCCTTCCCGCAACAGGAAGGAAGGCGCCAAGGGTGGCACTATGGGCCACAGGGGTGGAACCCAGAACCTCAGGATTATTCTGAGCCTTGAAACCTAATGACGGCTGCCCAGTTGGGATTGGAAGTGCTTGGGTTAGTGATTCCTTTTTTCCTTTCATGCTCTGACCCCCGCCTTTTTAATGGAAACATCTATACCTGTTGTCCTATGCCTGACCTACCATTGTATTTGGAAGCTGATAGCTTGTTTTCTAGTTTCACAGGGTGTGGATAGTTTTCCCCACAAGGGATTATACCCAAAGGCTCACTCATACGTAATGAGGATGATGAGATTTGGGAGTTTTGAGCTGTTGAAACTTAGTTATTATTTTGGATGTGTGTTGATCATGTAATGGGCTGAGATGTTTGGGAATCTTAAAATGGGATGAATGGATTTTGAATGTGGGATGGACAAAACTCATGGTCGGCCAGAAGGTGGACTGTCATAGATTGAATAAAAGTCCCCAAACATGTCTGCATCCTACTTGTCAGGACCTGTGAATACATGTACCTTTGCAGATGGGATTAAGATAAAATCTCAAGATGGGGGATTATCCCAGATTATCCATGAGGGTCCAAAATAATCACAATGGTACTCATAAAGCATTTGTAAAAGATCTGAGGATGGAAGCAGAGGTCAGCGAGGAGGGAGCTGCTACAAGGCTGGCTTTGAAGGTAGAGGAAGGGGTCAAGGAATGTTAGCAGCTCTAGAAGCTAGAAAGGCAAGGAGATGGGTTTTCCTCTAGAGCCTGCAGAAGCAGCACTTTGATTTGAGGACAGTGAAAACTGATTTTGGATTTCTTACGTCCAGAACTGTAAGTGAGTCACTGAGTTCATGGGAAGTTGTTACAGCAGCAATAGGACTAGTCTATCTCTCACAGCTCTCTCTCCTACCGCCCCGCCCCATACCAGTAACAGTGATAGTTACTAACTAGAATATAGCCTGGAACACTGTGGGCACTTGATATACTTACTGAATGACTGAGTGGGCCTGCCAACACTTGGCTGGTGGCTGGCAGCAGAGATGGATGCACCCACACACCTTGGAGGTTACATTAGCGATAGAAATATTACCTAGGTCCTTAACTCCTCTGAGCTACACTTCAGTACCCATCAGATGGGTTTCCCACTGCCTTCCTAACAGCCCAGCGTCATTATAACCATGGTGTGAGCTGGGGATGGTTCTGCCCCACCCCAGGAGACATTTGACACTGGCAGGAGACATTTTTTATCATACCTTGAGGACAAGGTGCTATTGACATCTAGTAGGTGGAAGACAGGGATGCTGTTAGACATTCTAGAATGCACCAGCAACCCCAGGACAAAGAAAGACTGGTCACAATGTCAACAGTGCTGAGGTGGAGAAGTCAGCCTTATGGCAAGTGCACATCCACTGACAGTTAAAAGGCTAAGATGAGGTCGTGTATAATTGAGTGCACTGAGAGACTCCATGCAGCCTTTCTGGTTGAGGTCATGGCTCATGTCTTCAAAGTCTAACTGGTGGCCAGTTAGAGGGCCAATAGATTTACTCTTTCTCCGCAGGGGAACACGAGTTCTTGGGGGCCCAGGGTTGAAGGGCAACTGCAGCAATGGTAGTCCTTTAAGCAGAATAATGCTCTGTGTGCCACTAGACATTCCACTCCTTCTCTCCTCATAACAACCCTCATAACAACCATGGGCAGATGGATAAAATGAGACAGCCTATTGGCTCCTGCCCTGGGTCTGAACCCTGGTTTTTTTTTTTTTTTTCCTTTTTCCCCTAATTTTATTTTTATTTATTTGTTTTTTATTTATTTTTATTTTATTCATATGTGCATACAATGTTTGGGTCATTTCTCCCCCTTGCCCCACCCCCTCCCTTACCATCCACCCTGTCCCCTTCCTCTCCCCCCCACCCCCTCCACACCCAGCAGGAACTATTTTGCCCTTATCTCTAATTTTGTTGAAGAGAGAGTATAAGCAATAATAGGAAGGACCAAGGGTTTTTGCTAGTTGAGATAAGGATAGCTATACAGGGAGTTGACTCACATTGATTTCCTGTTCCTATGTGTTACCTTCTAGGTTAATTCTTCTTGATCTAACCTTTTCTCTAGTTCCTGGTTCCCTTCTCCTATTGGCCTCAGTTGCTTTTAAGGTATCTGCTTTAGTTTCTCTGCGTTGAGGGCAACAAATGCTAATTTTTTAGGTGTCTCACCTATCCTCATATCTCCCTTGTGTGCTCTCGCTTTTATCTTGTGATCAAAGTCCAATCCCCTTGTTGTGTTTGCCCTTGATCTAATGTCCGCATATGAGGGAGAACATATGATTTTTGGTCTTTTGGGCCAGGCTAACCTCACTCAGAATGATGTTCTCCAATTCCATCCATTTACCAGCGAATGATAACATTTCATTCTTCTTCATGGCTGCATAGAATTCCATTGTGTATAGATACCACATTTTCTTGATCCATTCGTCAGTGGTGGGGCATCTTGGTTGTTTCCATAACTTGGCTATTGTGAATAGTGCCGAAATAAACATGGGTGTACAGGTGCCTCTGGAGTAACCTGTGTCACAGTCTTTTGGGTATATCCCCAAGAGTGGTATTGCTGGATCAAATGGTAGATCAATGTTTAGCTTTTTAAGTAGCCTCCAAATTTTTTTCCAGAGTGGTTGCACTAGTTTACATTCCCACCAACAGTGTAAGAGGGTTCCTTTTTCCCTGAATCCTCGCCAACACCTGTTGTTGGTGGTGTTGCTAATGATGGCTATTCTAACAGGGGTAAGGTGGAATCTTAGTGTGGTTTTAATTTGCATTTCCTTTATTGCTAGAGATGGTGAGCATTTTTTCATGTGTTTTTTGGCCATTTGAATTTCTTCTTTTGAGAAAGCTCTGTTTAGTTCACTTGCCCATTTCTTTATTGCTGAACTCTGTTCTTAAATGTCATCAGCCTGAGCTCCTGTGTTCTTTAGGTGGGGACAAGGCTGGGTGGAGAGTGGGCAAATCCCTCTCTTTGCACCCCAGTGTTCCTGCCCAGTTACTGTGGTTACAGCAACGAAATGGGTGCCAGCCATCAGAGAGATTAATGGTTTGAATACTGCTGTCACTGTCTGGGAAATCCCTGCAGACCCCAGGGCCCAGAATCATCCCTACTGACATCTAAGTGCAGCCTCAGTCTACAAGGCTCCAGAAAGGACTGAACCTTCAGACTGTAGGACCCTAGGATATGTCTGTGATCAGAAGAGCAGGCTTCCTCTGAACACTTCACTGCCTCCAGTACTACAACCCCACATTTAAGTGACTAAACTTCGGGATCCCCCAAATTG